AAGCGAGAATTTGGCGGTTCCGCGTCAAAAACGTCGACTTAACAGGGTTGGCGAGTTAACCGAGGTCGAGACTGTAGATGGCAAGTTCACCCACTGCCGCCGCCATTGTTTGGCGGTTAACGAGTTCTCTGGTTCAGGTAGTGTTCGTTGCTGCATCCATATACTGGCATCTGTGCAACGTCAAAATACGACATAGTTCTCAATGTAACAATGTTACTAACGCAACCAGATGGCGCTGATTCCACTAAATTAAACTCAAATTAGATTCTTAAAAATACCGCAAATACATTGCGTAATATTTTTTTCTTTTGTTTTCCGGGAATACTTGGTGTAACAAATCTGCGGTGTGAAGTGGGGCGTGACATTAGAATATTAATATAGTTCAGGGGCAGTGGTGTACCAGGAAGGAGGGGGGTAGCGCTAATTGGGAATCTTATCAAGTGCGTTTCTAGACCGCATGTTAAGTAACTTAAGTAGATGGGAAGTTCTAGCGCTGCGGCCGCCACTGTTTGGCGCGCTGTGGCTACCAGGAATACAAAATGTAAAGAAACACCCAAAAGTTGTACCATCTGTTGCATGCGCAATTAGAGTCTCGTGGGTTAGTATTCTTTCTTGCACGGAACAAAGATCATTGAGGTTATATTACTATTACTGTTATCATGTATATTCATAGTTGAGGCAGACTACACTTAAATTGTATTGCATGTAAGTAAAATATCCGACACATCTGATCCGCGATTGCCCCACAATGCCCATCTAATTAATTTTCAGAGAAGGGCCTTAACATTATTTTGTTAAACATGAATTTCTTTATTTTATTTTACTACTAATGTTTCATTTTTTTTTTAATAATCAGATTGTTTTTTTTTTATTCTTCCTTTTGTTCTCCTCAATCTAGCAGAAAAAACAAGGACAACCAGAAGAACCACACCAAAATGTTATATTTGTTAAAGTAAGACTCAACTAACAACATTTTCACTGAAGAAACTACTGGTCTGTTCCAGACACACCTCTGTGTCAATAAGCTAAGACTCAGCTAACAACATTTTCACTGAAGAAACCATTGGTCTGTTCCAGACACACCTCTGTGTCAATAAGCTAAGACTCAGCTAACAACATTTTCATTTAGGATACCACTGGTCTGTTCCAGACACACCTCTGTGTCAATAAGCTAAGACTCAGCTAACAACATTTTCACTGAAGAAACCATTGGTCTGTTCCAGACACACCTCTGTGTCAATAAGCTAAGACTCAGCTAACAACATTTTCATTTAGGATACCACTGGTCTGTTCCACACACCTCTGTGTAAATAAATGCAAGTCTTAACTAACATTAGGGAAACCTATGTTCAATTTCAAAGAGACACACCTCTATGTAAATAACAGTAAATCTTAACTAGCAGTTTGGAAACCTATGTTTTATTTCAGACAGACACACCTCAATGTAAATAAACGTAAGTCTTAATTAATAGTTGGGAAACCTGATTTCAAACAGACACACCTCTTTTTTAAATAAACTAAGACTCAGCTAACTACATTTTCATTTAGGAAACCACTGGTCTGTTCCAGACACACCTCTGTGTAAATAAACGTAAGTCTTAACTAACATATGTTCAATTTCAAACAGACACATCTCTATGTAAATAAACCTAAGATTCAACCAACAACATTTAGGAAACCACTGGTCTGTTCCAGACACACCTCTATGTAAATAAACCTAAGATTCAACCAACAACATTTAGGAAACCACTGGTCTGTTCCAGACACACCTCTATGTAAATAAACCTAAGATTCAACCAACAACATTTAGGAAACCACTGGTCTGTTCCAGACACACCTCTATGTAAATAAACCTAAGATTCAAACAACAACATTTAGGAAACCACTGGTCTGTTCCAGACACACCTCTATGTAAATAAACCTAAGATTCAACCAACAACATTTAGGAAACCACTGGTCTGTTCCAGACACACCTCTATGTAAATAAACCTAAGATTCAAACAACAACATTTAGGAAACCACTGGTCTGTTCCAGACACACCTCTATGTAAATAAACATAAGATTCAACCAACAACATTTAGAAACCACTGGTCTGTTCCAGACACACCTCTATGTAAATAAACGTAAGATTCAACCAACAACATTTAGGAAACCACTGGTCTGTTCCAGACACACCTCTGTGTAAATAAACGTAAGATTCAACCAACAACATTTAGGAAACCACTGGTCTGTTCCAGACACACCTCTGTGTAAATAAACGTAAGATTCAACCAACAACATTTAGGAAACCACTGGTCTGTTCCAGACACACCTCTGTGTAAATAAACGTAAGATTCAACCAACAACATTTAGGAAACCACTGGTCTGTTCCAGACAAAACTCCATGTAAATAAACCACTCCACTGTGGTGACACACTGCACTACCAGGGCATCAACAAAAAAATGTATACAAGTGATGAGCCCTCTGGGTAAGCCACTGCTCAACACAATATTGATTGGCTTCATTTGTTTATTGAAAAAAAGAAAAGGTTACAATACTAAAATCAGCAGAGGTTGATGATTTAAAAATATAATTTTTAGAACCAACTTATGTGTTTTTATAATTAACTAATCTTCTATGCAGTAAAAGGATAGCTCAAAGGGGCCATTGATGGATTATTTTTTTTTACTTTTTGAAGTAGTTAATGAAATGTATTAATAATGCTTCTCCAGTTTATGTCTTATGTCCTCCTTATGTGTAATAGAGCTGTCTAAACATGCGTTTCTCAAACTTTAAGTTTTGTTAAATGCTGGATTGGTTGATAAGTTTCCCACTCCATCGGAATTGTTAAATATTTGTATTTTTATATTTGACCCCTAAATGAGTAATAAAATACTTTTAAATCTGCGATCATTTAACACAAGAGGACTCCATTAACTATTACCATTTAATGCCAGAAGACTCTATTAACTATTACCATTTAATGCCAGAAGACTCTATTATCTATTACCATTTAATGCCAGAAGACTCTATTATCTATTACCATTTAATGCCAGAAGACTCTATTAACTATTACCATTTAATGCCAGAAGACTCTATTATCTATTACCATTTAATGCCAGAAGACTCTATTATCTATTACCATTTAATGCCAGAAGACTCTATTAACTATTACCATTTAATGCCAGAAGACTCTATTAACTATTATTATTTAATGCCAGAAGACTCTATTAACTATTACCATTTAATGCCAGAAGACTCTATTAACTATTACCATTTAATGCCAGAAGACTCTATTATCTATTACCATTTAATGCCAGAAGACTCTATTAACTATTATCATTTAATGCCAGAAGACTCTATTATCTATTACCATTTAATGCCAGAAGACTCTTTTAACTATTACCATTTAATGCCAGAAGACTCTATTAACTATTACCATTTAATGCCAGAAGACTCTATTAACTATTACCATTTAATGCCAGAAGACTCTATTATCTATTACCATTTAATGCAAGCCGCTATAACTTATTCTTTATGGCTGTTTAACTTTATTTAACTTTTATCCAGTTCCTTGTCTTCTGTTGTGCAGACCGGCAACACATATGACTTGCGGTCCAGTGCCACAGCTTTCGGAAACACTGTTGAGACTGTATCCCTACTTCTTACTGGGCATCACAGGACACATACAATTTAATTCCCACCCTACCCTCATAAAACCAGATAAAACACCAATGTTCCCCCTCTGCAAACATCCATATGAGAAACTAACACATCTCTTCCACTGCCCGCACTTCAAGACTCATGCCAAAACCATCTATAAAGAATACCAGACTGCCAAAACGACCTATTTATATACCAAAAGAGAACAGCTGCAGAGAGTGAGTAAATTCTTCACCATGGCCACAGGCCGAAGGGCACATGCCACAATGGCCGCTGGATCTGAATGATGATGATGATTCTAACAGGGCGTCATTTTTTTTTTTTACATTTTGATAAAAATTGAAGTAATCCACGAAGGCCCCTCCCTAAATCTCTATAGAAATAGCAAACAAAAAAGTTATAGTGTGAGAGAGTGAGCTCACTGAATGATATTAAACAATATAGAGGAAATAATTGTTGTTGTTTTTTATTTTTTCCCTGTAGCCTCGAGACTATCAGACAGCAGACAGTGATGAACTTGATTTATAAAAGATTAGATAAGACTGGTTTAGCCAGAAGCACCTTCCTCCGTGACACACCAACAGAGCCTCCAGGAAATAAGCAAACAGCCCCCGCCCCCCTCTTCCCCAAGGTGCTAAGGTTCTGGATACTGGATGGCCCATTGATGTCTACCCATGTCGTTAACACAGCACATTCCTGGACTCGGTTGTCCAATAGATTATGCTGACTGGCAGGAATCAATAGCTATAGCTGTCATTCGGGTCAATGATAATGACCGGACCAGGCAAGGACAGGTAAAAGAATGGCAGTTGTATACATGGAAAGAAGAAGCAGAATGTGTAAAAAAAAATAGCCTTCTTCCAAGGCCAGGATGTTAATAAATAACTATAAATAAGACAAAAATAAAGGTTAATGTAACACAGACTTATAGGTGTGTTAATTTATCAAGAGAAAAAAACAACACACTTCATGACAGATAAATCAGCAAAGAAACATTAAATAAAGGGTAAGAAGTATTTTTTAATAAAAATATATATAACTGATTTTTGTTTTAAATAGGTATGCAAAAAAATAGTCAGCACATTTTGAGATGTCAGATATGATTTTCAGGACAGATTCACATCGGCTTATATTAAAGTCAAATGTATGCATTGCTCCAAAGTTAGAAATCCATATGATATTGATATATTTAATATAAATTTTTTTAACTTGTGGTATAAATTATTGTTTTAATAAAGATGTATTTTTTTCTATATTTTTACTCTCATTTTTTTTCCAATTAGATCTAATTACTTTAACAAGCCAGAGAGAGAGAGAGAAAGTGGACCACAAAAACAGCTGAACATTAATTCTTTCCTACCTGGCATTTGCGTTTAAGCTCGGCAGAGCTGGACACTGGTCACCTAACAGCACTGATGTGCAGGCAGCCATAGACTCTGCTATTGACCTCAGGTTGTAACCACCCTGGGGAAACAATTGGCAACAGTGGAGCAATAGTGCCTAATATTTAAAGCTTCAAAATCCATAATTTTCTATGTTACAATGTCCATCACTAACGCTGAGGTTCAAAATAAAATTTCCAATACCTACACTAAATGAGAATCTTACAAGCACCCCAAATGCAGTTGGTATGCCTACACTAAATGAGCATCTTACAAGCACCCCAAATGCAGTTGGTATGCCTACACTAAATGAGAATCTTACAAGCACCCCAAATGCAGTTGGTATGCCTACACTAAATGAGAATCTTACAAGCACCCCAAATGCAGTTGGTATGCCTACACTAAATGAGAATCTTACAAGCACCCCAAATGCAGTTGGTATATCTTACAAGCACCCCAAATGCAGTTGGTATGCCTACACTAAATGAGAATCTTACAAGCACCCCAAATGCAGTTGGTATGCCTACACTAAATGAGAATCTTACAAGCACCCCAAATGCAGTTGGTATACCTACACTAAATGAGCATCTTACAAGCACCCCAAATGCAGTTGGTTCATAATATTTTTCTTTCATTTTATGGAAATATTTGATGCCATAAATCTGTGTTGTAAAAGGGGTGGGACATTACAATATTAATATAGTTCAGGGGCCGAGGGGATTCTTATCACGTTCATTACTTGAATAGATGTTTTGTCAAGTATTTTAGTAACTTAAGCAGATGGTAAGTACATGCATTGCAACCACAATTGTTCGGGCTATCGCTAGTTTATGCATGTATTATGGAAAACCTTCATAAGGATTCAAAGTAATTATGGTCTCAATTATTTAACAGGCTGTTATTATAATAAACAGGTAGATAAATTATTTGATGTTTTCAAAAAATGTTCTAGATCAGTGGTGCCCAGAATTCTGGTGGTGCAGCCCCTATGAAGGAATATTTTATTATTGATGTCGACTTAACACTTAACTACTTGAAAAAAAACAGGGGATTAACTTCTCAGAAGGATCATGACCCTAAGCTTTACATACCACTTGTTCAGAGACACTGAAGACATTCAAAAGTAAGATAAATGTTTTTTTTCCAAAAAGTAGAACCTAAATGAATAATGTAATGTCCCTCACCTCCAATGCCAGAACAACCCTCCCATTGGCAAGTCCCATCAGCATGTGTGTCATGTGAGCATAGCCTGCTGGGGTTACAGAGTAGCCTCCCTTGAAAGGAAACAAAACAAAATATATTATTTACAAATCGTACATTTAATTTGAAATTTTAAGGAATCGTGATAATAAATCATGCGAACTTGGTTGAGTGAGCCAATATAATGGCATGATGTGCTCACATAAAACCCAGGGGGGGGGGGTGAACATATTGTATTATTTAAAGGGCAAGGAAAACGTTCACTTTTCAAATCAACGCCACTAAACAACAAAGTTTACACTAACCAATGGATCACCAGTTGCAGAATCAAACCCAGCACTGATGATAACCAGCTCGGGCGCATACTGTAAGAAAAAAGCATAATGGAAACTACATTCAAAAATGGAACACAAGCACTGGTCAGTTTGCCATAACCTAAACAAGGATTATATTAGTGTATCTAGAAAATCAGAAAATTCCTTTTAAAAAAATAATTTTATAAATGTTAAGCTATATATTCTAACATAATAAAAATACCAATTGAGGGTAAAAATTAGAAATGTCTATGATGGCACAAAAAAAACAAAAAGAAAAGAAAAACTTTAAGGACAGAAGCAAAGAATTTAAGAAAAGAAAAATTTAAAGTAAGAAATACTTTATGCTTTTACAATGTCATAAAAAATGTTGGAAAAATAAAAACATAAATGTTGATAAAAGCATTGGGCAATGATAGCCAAAACGAGAGTATCTAATTAAAAAAAAGTTTAGTGAACAGCTAAGCATGACATGGCTATAGTAGCAGAAAGAAAATTTTATGCCCTTAAATCATCAGGGATTTTTATTTCATTATGCGTACGCTGTCGCAGAGTAGCCCACTAAGCCTGATGAGATTCTGACAGGATTGCCAACATATTGTTACACAAGACTGGCATGGTGTCTCACCTGGTATGCTATTGGCATGATGATCTGTGTGAATGCAAGTATGTACTCAGCGTCTCCCATCCTCGACTGGGGACAAGTAAATAAGAAAGAGAATCTGAGATAAAAGTCTGAGCAAACAGTGTCATTAATCGTACAAGAGTGTTGATGTTTAGCCATGCAAGAGACAGACATAAGACAATCATCTTAGTACCCATACATTTTATTTCAACTAAATGTTTAGCTATGCAGGCTGAAGATTGTATTACTTTGAATTTTAGTTAACTTTAGATATTTGCCATGTGCATTCATATGTGCCACTTTAAATTAACCTTTTTTCTTTCAATTTTCACCCTTTTCTTAATATTCCCATTCAATAAATTAAAAATAAAATGAAAAATTCTAGAATGTATTTTTTATTTAATGCTGCTCTGGTTACAATGAGCCAAAAGCCATTATTACAAAGACACGTACAAAAAAAAATAAAAACATAATGTCATCCAAAGTCCTATAAATAATACAGTTCAATAGGAGGAGACTTAGAAGGCTCTGCATATAAATATTGACTTAAGACTTACTCCGCACCAGGGAATGTTGACATTATAACCTTCACCTGGTCCCTGACCAACGTAATTGATACCGGCATCTTGTCGGCCAGGGAAAAAGTGCCCATTGTCAAACCGGTGTAGGGAAATGTAAAGGACACTGAAGAAATAATCAAATATTTAAATTGAAAGTTTTCAATGCATTACCAGACTATATCTATGGTATTGTAGGGGCCAATTAAAGATTTTCTAGTATTTCAAGCAGGAAGTTAAAATAAACAATGAATTTCAATGAAAGATTTTTATTACTTATGTATGTTTAAAAGAAAAGATTTAAGGTTTACAATATTTATTTTTCACAAAGAAAATACATAATGATGGCTTTTTAACATGAGAAATTCATTTCATTTTGAATCTGATTGTCACATCTGCTTGTTCATAAAGTAATATACCCATACAAGGTGTTTTTTATTATGAAATTCAAAGGCTTTTTATGTGACACCATCACCACCCTTCTGCAACTGCACAAAAAAAATCATCAAACAGCGTGGTGGACATGGGGACACACTAAGATGATGTTTTAAAAGACTTGACTTAAAACTATTAACAAATAATCTTTCATCATGCTTGCATCTCATCAGGCTGACTGAAGAGATGTTGTACATAAGATAAGCTTTATTACCTGGGATCTCTGTAAAACTGATGCTGCGTGGCATTGCCATGGTGGACATCCCAATCAACTATTAAAATTCTGGATTTTAAAAAACAAAGAAACATTTGCAACCATTGTAATTTTAAATGGCAAATATGTGACCTATAACTCTTACATTTTCTTATCTTTAGAGCAGCTCAAAATATTTTAGTCCTTAACTATAGGTTTGTGTTTGTAGGTATTAGGCTCCATAATGTTTTTTTTAATGAAGAATACTGTGATAAATTTGTTTAACATGAGATTCTAGAAAGTCAAGTGTTTATTAAATGCAGGACCCTGTGATAACATTGTTGAATGAGGAGTTGCTATTTTACTATAAACTATTATGCATGGACTGACATAGCAAACAAAAAGCCAACATGTCCTTCTACACAAACCTTTTAAGATTGAAGTTCTTCTGAGCAAATTTAGCAGCTACAGCCACATTGTTGAAGAAACAGAATCCCATGGCCTTGTTGCACTCAGCATGGTGGCCTGGAGGTCTGTGTATGCAAGGCAGAATGTAGATGACAGATTACCATTTTACTCAATTAGTTCCTAAACTATGTATCATGCCGTTTGTTAGAACAAAGAGGTAAATTTAAAAAGTCTCTTTGGATGTTAAGTGAATGAAGCATAGCCTCTATCTGGGAATGTTTGTCTCATGAAATATCTATTGGCTACCTTTATATTATTTTGCCTCATACTTTGGCTGTATAAATGTAATTCTCTGCTACTGTTTTGATTTCTGACATATTTTTTAGCAGCCCTAAGGATTTTAAAATGGGAAGATAACATCAAAGAGTGGACAGGACTAAAACTAAGTGATGCTGTGCGAAGTGCAGGAAACAAAGAGGAATGGAGAAGGATAGTTTTCATGTCATCTGTGGCGCCCCAACATCCAAGGACTAAGGGACATGATGATGATGGATTTTAAATGTAGTTGTTCCAGCCATTCCTCTACTCTGATTTAAAGGGAAACAACCCTGTAGTTTTTCCTTCCCCCAGATCCCTGTCAGATACCAGTAGTACTGCTATGATGCCACTTTCTGTTACCCCAAATATTTGTAGGTGTATACTATGTTTCTTTAAAAACTACTATTCAGCTTAAAAAGCAAACAAAATTAAATGTGATCTAAGTCAGTGAGGGAATTTACCTGACAATAGCAATGCCACTTTGGGCCTGTAGAAATAGAGAAATTCACACTTTGTAGTATATACATTAAAACATAATAAAAACAGCAGCCCAATCAATACTAGTCACTATAAAAGCTGTCTTAACAACCTTTAACCTAAAACCTGTCTTAACAACACTATAGTCTTATGACACTACAACAGCTGTCTTGGCAACACTAAACACTGTAAAAGATGTCTTAACAACACTAAGTTTATAATAACACCTGCCTTAACTCTAAATTTAATATTAACACCTGTCTTCACAACACTGAACTTTATGATAAGACCTATTTTACACTCCTCTTTTAAAGCCAAAGGACAAGTTATCAAAAGAGTATGGGAGCTGCATTCACAAATCAAAAAAAAGTCTCCCCTCACAGCGTAAGAAGCATGAACCATTCTACAGACTAAACTTATTAACAACCAGGCTAATGAACAGTAAGACCAGTAACACCTGTCTGATCAGTACAAAACATATTTTTAAAAACACCTGTCCAATAAATGAGCACTTAACTTTAACACAGCACCTTGCTGGCAAACTGTCGGCCCAATCCTATGCCCCTTAAACCAGAGTTGTCACATAAGCTATGTCCTCACCTGTCCGGTTAAAACAGCCTCAACAACGTTAAGGACACTCCCCGCAGCCAGCAGGGCAGAGTAGAAAGATTTCTGTTGGAAGAAGAATTATGTGACTTAAATTTAATTCATTTAATCAGTACACATGCCATTGCTGTTCTGTATAAATAGGGCAAACGCCCAAATGGCTACTGGATCTGATTGATGATGATTATGGATTTCACAATTTTTTTTTCCTTTCATCTAATGTCACCAAAAGAAGAACACAGTAGAAAATCAATCATCCCCCTTAATCGGGAACGGGGTTTTCCTGTTGCCCTATTTTTGAGATAACCGAATACTTCCACAGAAAGGTTGCGTTAAATAAGTTAGTGCATAGAATACAATATTCTCCCCTTATACATGCATGGTGCTTCGCTTTTAAAATGTAATATGAACCATAATCATCAATGGGATATCGGGGTCAGCTGATTGATGTCAAAAACGGGACTGAAATTTTTTCCTTATAGTTGACCGGCCCTTAGAATAGAACCAGAAGTCACTTTTTCTTTGTACGGCGGTATTCTATGATTAATAAGTTTGTAGATCACACTATCCCAGTCTGGTCATTGATGGTACAATAAGCACCTAGCTTTTTACCTGGATTTGTGCAACAGGGATTGGAATTAATTTTCCAAAGTTTGTTATATGCCAATTTTCCTAGCATAAAATTAAATATAATTTTTAAAAAAGCAAGGGTATTTTGGGTAACCGATGATAATCAGCATTTGGAAAATCATCACTGCACTATAATATCATTCTAACTATTTTGCCGAATGCAACAGAGTCAAACTCTGAAATCAGCATGAAAAAATAACACAACTTTTCCACAAATAAAGTTTTCTCTTCTCAATAAACTGAAATGTGGACATGGATCCTACGCTACTGCCATTTGATGGAATGCTTCCTCCCCCCCCCCCACTTACCTGGTTCACATAGATGGAGCTGTATCCTTGCTCTTCGGGGAAACTGTTTAAACTATCCTCCTCCATATTCTCTGACTGCTTGAGTTCTGTGATGTACTCCTCCCTGTGTGAAAACAGTCGTCAAATATGCTTTAAAAATACAAACAATGGCAAGATTGAGAGATAAGCCTCAACAGGTTGCCAACCTCTTTGTTTACAAAACAGTTGAAAAGATTATACTTTTAAGCAACGTTACTCTAATTAACATAAGCTTTGTCTTTAGGCCATTTTTAACTCTTTCGCTGCGGAATTTTTTCATCGAAAAAATGTACATTTATTTCGAAGAGTGGAAAAAGAGTGAGAGGTTGGGTTTATTAAAAAATATTTTAAATATTATTCTTTGGTTTATAAGACTAAACTTAGTATCAAATGAAAGGTAATTGAAAGGACTATATATTTGTACACTAGTTTCTACAGTTTAAAAAAAATAAGTTACACGAAAGAACCATAAAATGTGAAAACATTTTATGCTAAACCATTTTTCCCCAAACCCAATGATATACGCATACCTCATCTTCAATTCTATAACTCAATTCCTCTAAAACTACTACCATCGGAATCATGCGATGTATCTAAATATAAATCATCTTCGCTGTCAAAAGAAATATTATAAAACAATTTCAAAGCTTTTTTTAACTGTTAATCGTCTAGGAAACTTACCTACTAGAGCCTAGGGTAGCCATAGCAACAGTAAAAAAAAAAAATGCGAAGAAAATCGTCAAAATAATGCTTCAATTGACAATAAATAAGCCTTGGTTTCGATTGTAAACAATGAAGTGCCACTCTTCTATGTAAAAGTCTTATTTAAAAATAGCTCTTAAAAAGTTTAACCGAGAAATAGCAAAGAAAGAAACATGATATTGAAACAACGCACAGCGCGTTGGTCCGTGCTTTTGAGAATGGCGGAAGAACGCAGTGTGCGTTGTTCCGCATCGAAAGAGTTAACCAACTTCCCTATATCTGAAAAAGTTTAAAATTGGCAGCCAACTTTTTATCACTGTATAAATGAAGGACTGTGTGCAGGCTGTTTGAAGGAAATAGTGGAACAAGGTATGTTGAAGCTTGAAATAAAAAGACAGGACAATAAAAAGTCTTATTTTTCAACAGTAATGATACATTAATTCTTTTAATTCCTGTAATCTTTTGGATAGAACATATTTTTTTTTGTTTTGGAAAACCCAACTTCCAGCAATAACATAGCAGTTATGACGAATTCCAAACAAAGTTTTAGACCTGTTTTCTATTTCTTCTTGTATTGTCTTTTGTCCTGTGTGCCAAAGAAAGCTCTAAGCTGAGATATTCTCTTTTTATTGTCCTGTTTTTGTTATATCAAGCCTCCACACACCTTGTTCCACTATTTATTTCACTGAGCATTTTCATTACTTTTAAGACATTCTCAGACTAATCACAAGGAACATATTGTCATGGAATGCTCAACAGTATAAATAACAAAGCAAAGCTTTAAAATAATTTTTTGCTTGTTTTCTCACTCTATAAACAAAAAAACCCCAATTAGTTATGAGTGTATATAAAAAATATTCAATTAAAAATGTATGATTAAACATTTAGATTACTATTACTAACGTGTGGATCCAAAGCAGCTCTGACTTTCTGGCCATCCTCGACTGCAGTGAAAGACAAAACATCAGCTATTATGAACTAGGCTGGTCTTTTTTATTAAAAATATATTTTCAAATGCCAAGTGTGTTGACTTTATTTTATTTTTTTTCTGCAATGCTATTTGTAGTAGTGTTTTAAAGAACAATATTTTCTATGGGGACAAAGGATTACTTTTGGAATGACATTTAACATATGCCAACAAAGTGTTCTTCCTTTTAAATTTTGAGGTGTTGTATAATGTACTGAAGCAATATGAATACAAACTTGCATTGTAAAGAGGAATAATACATCAGAAAAAACAAAATATTTTCGACAATTTAGTTGATAAATCATTTTAAATCAACCAATGTTGTCAAGTTATCACTTACGGGCACCTCCAGGCCCCTTTCTAGAAGGTTCCATTGAGTCAGCTTCTTGTGGATGCTCACTATCCTGTCAGGTCTCTCCGGGTGGGAACTGTATGCCAGTAGCATTTCATTAAAAAAGAAGGTGGTGCTATTGCTGTATAGACTTTTTGCATGGATACGGACTGATGATATGGATATGAATGATGACATGGATAGACATGATATGGATATAGACTCATGACATGGATATGTATGCTGATGATATGGATACATTCTAATGGTATGGATATAGAATGAAGATATGATATAGACTGATGACATGGATATATACTGACAAAATGGTTATAGGCTGATGACATGGATATAGACTGTGAATGTGGATATAGAGCAATGACATGGATATAGATTGAAAGCATAGATACAGTCTGCTGACATGTTTAGTATGATGATAATAACAGTAAAGGCAACCATTTTGGTATGCCTGGTTTATTTTACTCACGGAGAGAATATGTTTTTATGAGCCTTCATTTGCGCATCATATGTATAGCAAAATCTGGTAATAAAGAGAAAGTTATTTAATGCGATATTAAGAGAAATTAACTTCTTTTTTTATTTAAATTAAAATTTTACTTCCCTCGTTCTAATGAGTTAATAAAGGATTCAGACCTGTTCCTTTTACATGTCTGTATGGCATTTAACCTATTGTAAACTTTGCTAAAAAAAACAATTTTTTTAAAAATTTAAATACCAATTTGTTAAATATTGGTTCATATTTTCATTTAATTGAAGCAGATTATTAGGTTACTTTATTTTTTCTTTTGAATAAACTTATAACACAAAGGACTACTCTGAGATTCCCATCCTACTTTGTTTTCGCTACAGACAAGTTTGTTTCACGGATGATCTGATCAATCTGGTTTAGAAGCTTTTGTTTCTTCTCCTCGGATTGAACAGGATAGTAGCCAGTCAACATGAACTTCTCAGGCCTGTTTTCTGGGGTCATGAACGTGACCCCTTCACTGAAACACACACATGGACGGTCAGTTTTGGGGGCAAAAACACTGTCGCTTGTGGTGGCACAGACCATTTCAGGATAATAAGGCATATGACATATTTACTCATGATGCTTTGAAAATTAGTTTTTTAATTTTTTTTAGGATTAATTCTTGGAATATCATAAAGAAACAAAGACTTGGATTAAAATTTACTTCATTAAAAATAGCTGGAAAAAAAGAAATCAAGATACTGCAAAGCTTAGTAAGCAAAATGAGGCAAACGTTGTACTTAGTGTGAAACTGGGCAAAAAAATGTTAATGATTGTTCTTTTTCACTAAAAATGAAATCATTAAAATATTTTAAATTAGACCTACACTGGTGGTGTAGTGTTGACTTCTTTAAATTTACACTGCTCTGACTTGTCCAACTTCTGGTAATGTTTGAAGCACTTCCAATGTGGATATAGAACTTTGACAAGATTCAGAATGGTGGTGATGATGCTGGGAACAAATAAATCAGACAAATCAAATGACAAAAGAATCTGATTGTCAATACACACAAAATTATGGTAGATCTTTCATAAACATGGCTAGTTTACAGTGGTCATAGCCATTTTGTTAATTTTATTTTATTAGTGTGTTTTACAAATTAAGATCTATACTTATTTACAGTCCCTCCACCAATATTGGTATGGAACTCATACTCCCACTTTGCGTGTATGGCACATTTAGACAGTGGAATGCAACTCAAATTACCACTAGGGTGTAATGCACATTTTGACAGTGGAATACAACTCAAACTACCACTGTGGGTGCATGGCACAGATAATAATAACAGCAGAATGATCATGTCAACAAATTCTAAATTTTAAAATTTGTTTAATCTGAAGGACAGAGAAAAAAAAAAAAAGATGTAGGAAGCAAAGAAATGTCCTGTCATAAAAAGTGACCCTCCTGAATCTTTCTCACTGCCTGTCAAAAGATGTCTACCCACTAACCTGTCAGATGGTTCAACTGTGGCAGGCATCAATGGACATGGGTCTTGCAGCAGACTCCTAAGAGTAAGTGCACAGCCCTCTGACAGAGATTTAATGCAGTAGCCTCCCTGGGGATGAAATATACAAAAAGAGAAAATAAAATTTAAAAAATCAACAACAAAAAATATACAATTTTTATTCTTATAAAGACTTGGATCCAATCAGAAAAATTGTTAACCTTTATGTTCACCTCCTTTTTTAGCCCTGTGTTAAAGTTATCTAAATTTTAACCAAGATGTCCCAGGTTTGAATAGGTCCATGATCCTCATCAGCAATGAGTGAAATAAATAGGCAAGTGGAGTGGACTCGTAAGTCAAGTAAGGTTTTCTTGGGGAAGAGGTTATGTCCTTAGTAATGTATGTCAACCACGGAAGTGAAGAGATGGCAAGCAATTTGGGTGGGGGCATTGTTAAAAAAGAGAAAGAAGGAAACGCCTGGAGCCAATACTTAACAGTCTGCTTACCTCCAAGGCCACACAGACTCTGCCTTTAGCCAATGCCCTGAGATGGTGTACCATGTGGGCATACATTGGAGCAGTGATTAGCATTTCTCCCTACAATGTTGGATGAAGTAATAAAGAGACTTTAAAGGAAAAAAAAAACACACCCAAACTGCATACTGATTATTTTTTTCAGAAACTATAAACTAATTTGCTGATTTGAAATTTTCTTATGAAAAGTTTTCCATACAGATGTTAATATCAATGTTACTTTTGACTATGGCTCATTAAAGTTATGAGGACTATTGTATGGCACAGAATTTAAACAGCCCTGCACATGTACGGAATTCAATGTTGAAAATATTTGGGTCTGGATAAGTATATTATTCTTAATCCTAGCTGCATAAATTATTTTAAAGTTACCAGGAATGACTTGCGTGGTATGACATTGTTAATAAACACTGAATGATTCTGGATAAAATTTAGTGGCATTTTTTGGGATCTTGATTTACAAATCAATAGGTCAACTTAATACATTTAAAAAAAATTAAATTGATAGTGAGTTACAATTTAAATATTTGCGACTTAATTTAAATTTTTTTTAAATTAGAAATGTTATATAATTTTATGTTCTTGGTTTAGGAAATAAATAATACACAAATAAATAATAAATAAATTTACTGAATTTGAGAAAATGTTTTTATGAGTTTGAATTTTAAAATTATTTAGAGTTGCAAGCATGCATGTAGAAATAAGAGCACGCAAAAAATATGCAGAGTAAAATATGGTTTCTAGATATATATAACACTAAAATTAGAAGTGCTTGCATTGTCTATTGGTTTAAAAATATAATATTGACCAGCATAATAGAGTTAAAAAAACAAATGAAGGTACACCACAACAACAAAATATATGAGTTCACTTTGTCATGGTTAGCAGTCTTGGCAAAATGAGGGCCCTTAATTATATAGCATCTTTAAACCCATTAACAACTAGCCTCAGCCAACCATCGTGGGCAACCAATACTGAAGTATCTACACTTATTTCAGCAAGTATACCATATACAAGGGGAAATAATCAGTTCATATGAGTTATATGTAGAATAAGGATATTACACTAAACTGCACGATTGATCTCACAGGTTCACAGAGAATTGATTACCAGTATGTAAATTTTTAAAATAACTCCCATAATCATATCATACATTATATTTCTTTTTTTTTTTTTTTAGAGTATTTTTTTTTAGAGTATTTTCTTTTTTTTAGAGTAATCTTTTTTTTTTTAAATAAAATGTATTTCTCAAAACAGTGTTTACTAATCATTTCTGCTCAAAACAGTGTTTACTAATCATTTCTGCTCAAAACAGTGTTTACTAATCATTTCTGCTCAAAACAGTGTTTACTAATCATTTCTGCTCAAAACAGTGTTTACTAATCATTTCTGCTCAAAACAGTGTTTACTAATCATTTCTGCTCAAAACAGTGTTTACTAATCATTTATTACTCTCTACCATACCAAATAAGAAGTAAATGATTGCATGGCTTTTCATAGTTTATGTTAGTGGCCTGATATAAAATATGCTCATAGTTATTCCTGCAAGAACATGATTGTCAGATGTCAAAGTGCCCAGGTTACCTTTTCATCTCCAATAGCTGAGTCAAGGCCATTAGAGATAAGGACCAACTGAGGGCTGAACTGTGAGCAGATTAATTGATAAATAAAACAACAGGCTATGTAAATGCTACAAATATTGAAAAAAGGAGAAAACAATGAAAAAGGACATTAAGCAAGCAATATGAACGATGAAAAATGCTTCTAAAATTAATTTTTCCCTGATTTCTTTTTCCTGAGGTAAAGCAGTACAAAAATGTGTACTATATACTATGGTCAATTGAGTATGAGTTGTGGGGCATAGTGAAAAAAATATATGAAATAGATCTGCTTATGTTTAAAAAGCATTTTCCTTAGCTTGAATACTGTAAACCATTTTAATGTTTCACATCTTTTTGAGGAAGTAAAAATTTTGATGTTTTTGGAAAAAAACACTTTTTCAAGAGATTATCTATTCCCTTTGCTGAGATGCTAACATAAATAAGAATTACATTTTAAAGTAAATTGGTTTACAGTAACTCACAGGGACTGATGGTTACTGCTGCCAGCTGCTTTAATATGCCACCAGTAACACCCATATGGCCACTGTTAACAGCTGCTATAACATGGCACCAGTAATAACCATACGGCTGCTGCTACCAGCTGCTAAAGTATGCCACCAGTAATAACCATACGGCTGCTGCTACCAGCTGCTAAAGTATGCCACCAGTAATAACCATACAGCCCCTGCGGACAGCTCCACAACACCAAATTTTAAAAAAAGCAGCAACTATGATTGAGCATCGTTAAGATAATACCTCTGGGCAGCCTAAAGCTGCATCATATCCTGATGAAACCAAGACTAACTGAGGATTGAACTGGAACAAAATATGTTATAAGTTATATATTAACTCTTGTTAATAACTGTTGCTAGTGATTCCCTGACTTAATGCCATAGTAAAGCTTTATTACAATTGTTGATCATGTCAGTCTCATCAAGACCAGAAGTTTGGCTTTCAGTTGTAAAAAAAACAATAAAAAGACATGGGTGTTACACAAAAGGTATTAGATTTAAATGATTTCATTTTAAATGCAATAAATAAATATTAATTTAACAAAATTATCAATAACAGAATGCTTATTTATCTCTCAGGACCATAATTTTGGCTCTCGGTTGTAAAAAAAATATTAAAAAAAACACAGGTGTTACACAAAATGATTTAAATGATTCATTTGAAATTCAATAAATAAAATATTTCAATTTAACAAAATTATCAATAACAGAATGCTTATATATCTCTTTATCACACCCCAGCAGATTTAACTTTTAGTGATGTAATGGACAAGCTTCTCTGGATTTCCTCGGTCTTATTTTTTTTTTTTTTCTTGTAGTTCCCCATGGTGGACAGGTAACCCATAGGTTTCAGACTCTCTCAACCTTTTTTTGTCATGTTTAAGATGCTACAGTTAGCTGCTTTATTATCAGAGCCTACCTCATAGGCCAGGGGCATGAGTAGTTGGTTGAACACTGCCATGTAGTCACTGTTTGACATCCCAGTCTGAGAACAACAAAAAAATGTAATCAGCCTTTTCTTTTCAAAGCTTATTCTCCAGGTATAGATGCAAAAATGTATAAAAGATAAGTTACCAAAATCATAAAGATTAATTTTTTTTTTTTTTGCTTTCTAAAACTTAGTTGTACAAATTTACAGTTTTGTTATTTTTTTTATTTTTTTTTTTTAACAATTATGGAGCAATGTTGCATTCAAGAATCAGTGTATATTATAAGTATGGACAAGAGATTAATTAAAAGGAAAAGTCCTACAAGTAATTTTATTGATAATGACCACTTATTTTCAAGTGATTGCAATAGCAGTTCTTCATTAATGCAATGTTCCCACTGGCAAATAAATTACCAGGAGGGAATGAGTTGCAGTATTAACTGCATAAAAAAACGAGATGTTACCTGGTTTAGTGGAACGTTGATATTGAATCCTTTTCCTTTATCTTTCCCGATGTGATCGTAATCTGATTCCCTGAGTTCGGGCCAAAATCTGCCATGTTCATAACGGTGGATTGAGAAGTAGAGAACTCTGAAAAAATTAATATGAAATACATTTCATTGATGCAAACAATAATTCGTTTTCCAAGTAACTTGAGCAGGGTGCTCCAAAACAGCTCAGGGCGTACCCTATGTCAAAGGTATGGGAATCACTGTTGTTGGCATGAATGCTGTTGGGGTCCTTGAGTTGTGTCATGAGTGTTATTATTGTGTCAGAATGATCATTGGAAGACAAAAATAGAATAATAAACAAGTGTGTGTATAAACAAATAAATAAGGCGTGAAATAAAGAGAGTGAAGGAGAGAGAGTTGATTAAGGAGATGGTCATGAGATGTTCATGAGTGACAGCTCCTGTGTTGTTTGGATAGACTGTGTTAGGTATATGGAGATACTGTAACCAGGTGGATCTGCTTAACACGGAATAAATGAGAACCCTAGTCATTCATAAAGTGTTTGTGTCTCAATATTCGGTGTGCCAGGGTGTATTCGTTGATAGACAGAGTTGCAGAGTACCATCGACAAACATTGCCAGAGATTCTCAGTTAGAGTAATAGAGTATTTTAACACCCCTACTTTAGAGTAAGAAGGTAAAAGTTTGTTTTTTTTAAGAACTTTACTATGTATACGTATGCCCTGAATGTGGAAACCCTTCACTTTTTTGTATGTTACTTCCTAAAGGCTTGACAGTGGTCAAACCTTATAATCTAAGGGTATGAGCAATAACACTAATAACAGTAATAATTGCTAGTGATACACTAATAAAGCCATTATTATTTACTCAAATGATAGTGGTTATTTGTTCATGTGTTGTCAATATATTGCAAGATTTATTTTAAGTATCCTGGCAATGCAATCCTTACAAATAATTAGCTCACTATTTTTTCAATAGATTAATTAATAAAATAAAGAACATCTTGAAGTTTGCAGGCAACTCTTAATAGCATCAAATTTATTCATTCCTGTAAAAAAAAAAAAAAATTAATTTGAAAACTAAAACACATTGTGTGAATTGATTCTATTGTTCAACTTGTTTTACCTTGGATCATCATAGAACATCCTCTGAATACCTTGACCATGATGGACGTCCCAGTCAACAATGAGGATTCTGGGTGCAAATAAAAGTAGAAATTTCAAATATGTTTTGCCTTTTGATTTAATGTTTACATGTTTCAAAAATATCTGACCTGCTACATAAACAGAAGTGTTGCAATAGAACAAAATGTTTAATACAGTTCAACCTTTCATGGATGGCATGTTTATTTGTCAATTACATAAAGTTTAATGCACCAAACTAACCTTTCAACTCCTTTATTGAGAGCACTCTGTGCCGCCAGTGCAACATTGTTGAATGTGCAGTAGCCATTGAATTCATTCTCCATGGCATGGTGACCTGGTGGTCTAGAAAGAGAAAAAAATTCAGTGATGGGTGTCGGCGGACAGTGAGGATGCTTACATGGGGAACTAGTAACCTTCAGAGAATGAATAGGATGTATGGATGTCAGAATATTTGTTGATGTCAAATGGAATTGATATGGGAATTTCATTGACATAATCTCCCACTGGATTTACTTTAACATTAAAGAATAGCTTCATGAAAACATAACTATGATAAGGTATAAATGCCACCTAGCAGAGTCAAGTCAATGAGCCAACAATTATAAGTTACAATGCAAAGTTGATCCCCTACCTGATCATAGCAAAACCATTAGAGAGCCTGAAATGGAGGATGTCATCCACCATCTTGATTGTGGTGCCTGCAGCCAATAGGCCAGCATCATATGTGTACTGTTCAAACAATACATTTGGATCATCATAAGGAAAAACATAAACAATATTTTCACAATAAATGTGGGTTGAAGAGAACATTACTTATTGTTGTCACTACTAGTGTGTCCTGTGGGATCACAATGAGAGGTCAACTATGTATTGCAGTGTCTGTACATAGGAATGTAAAGAAATTTGTTCTGGGGTTTTTTTTGGTGAATATTTCGCAAAGCTACTGAAGATATTTTGGCTCACATAAAGGGGGCAACACATTTAAATAATTTTATACATATTGTTATCAAATATTTAGCACTTTGTGAATAACTACTCTAGTAAGATGAATTTGAAAACAAACCGTATCCTTGAAAAAGTAATTTAAAACATTTTGATCTGAAAGAAGCCTTAAAACTGAATTAAAAATGTGTTGCAGACCTGTTTACTGTTCAATTTTGGCTTACAATGTACGATTTTGAGGTGTATACATTATATGTACTGTATGGGTTTTTTTTACTATTAAGATAATGTATTGAACGGTTTTGTGATGATATTGTGCGATTTTGAGAGTTTGAGGGTAAAGAGGTCTGGTGTTGAAAGGTGGAAACAAAGTCAACATACATCATTGCAGTACCAAGCATCATAATTCTGACACAGCTCCTTTCTTTCTTCGAGGGTCATGGCCACTGACTTCTCAGCCAATGCTAAGTGCTCACGAGAGTGTTTTGTCAATATTTCTTCAGGCTTTGCTCTTTGGCACTACAAGGTGATAACAGAGTAAACGAGTGAGTCAAATCTGCTTAAACTTAAATGGAGCAGTCTCAAGGTCTGTCATAATCATGTTGATTTACCAACCCAGTGAATGTTTTTTATTTTCAAACATCCCATAACACAGCCACTACTGTTGATTCTGCATTAGTAAAATCATAAAGTCTAAAAGTATGTCAAAGCCTGAAATCAGCAAACCAACTGTTTTTGCTATACATTCACGTAGCTTTACAGTAGCAGAAATGTGCTGTTTAGAAAATGGAAGAAATACTTTAATGTTCATAACAAGAGTTCTAAAAATGTGTGAGTACTTATCCAACCTCAAGCCTTTCACATCTTTCTATGAGGCCAAGCTCTGTGCACCGTTTGTATGGCTCTGTTATCCTCAGAGGATTCTCAGGGAACTTTGGATCCCATTCACATTTATGTAGAGTCATAATCTCATCATAGATCAACCCAGTCCTGGCACAGAAAATATCATCCTTTCATCACACTAAATACACAGTTTTTCAATGAAGTTCTTTCATATAAATAACATCTTCATTTACATTTTTCTTATTATTTTAAAGTTGTTGCTTTAACAAATCAGGAAAATAATTCTCAAGAAAATGCTTACCCTATGTATGGAGGTGGTGCCAGCTCTCTGACTTCCTGTAACAAAAACATTTCACTCAACATTACATTTCAAGAGGTGTGTAGTAAACATCGTAAAATAAAGCTCATATAACGTATGTCTTATTAAATGTTGTTTATAACTACATTTTTTTGACAATCAAATAAATAGTTTATTTCTCCATTCCTTCAATAACAGCACCATGCAATAAATACAGTATAAGGTTTTTCTGAGGTAGTAAAACAGTAGTTAAAAGTGCAATGAAGAATACTGAATTGATGTAACATTTCAGGGTTTCGAATTTATGTAAAACACTGGCGTAAATCAATATTTTAAATTCAGTAGAACCTCGGATTAAAAGTAACCTAGGATAAGAGCATACATTTGTAATAAATGTTGTATTGGTTTGCGAGCAATGTATTGGAATGCAAGCAAAAAATTTGGCTATGGAGAGTTCATCTGCGGAGGAGGAGGCACAGAAAGACAAACCACTTGAATCTAGTTAAATTAGGGAGATTATAAATATGTGGGAAACACTGCAAAATTGTGTACAAACACATCACCCAGATAAGGCTTCGGCGGGAGGAGCAGCTATTTTATTTAACGACAATGCAATTTCATTTTTTCATAACAGTTTAAAGAAAAGGCAGAAACAGGTGTCTCCAGATATGTTCCCTGTAAAAATTGAATGTCAGAGTGAACGAAAAGACGACCGAATGTCCAGAAAGCATAAATTAAGCGATTCTGATAGTGATGGTGAATGTTATTCAAAAGAGAGAACTCCCAATATTTTACCAGAAGTTCTCATGGAGGCAGATTCTCCTTCCAAACAGTAACCACCCCCCCCCCCTTTTCCTTTCTATTTCATCTTCCTCACACCAGCTGTGACTCTCTTCAAAAGGTAAGGTGCAAGTTAATTTGTTAATTATTTTCATTTTTATTGTGACTTATTCATTTTTATTCATATCTCATGTTAGGGGTAATAATTTGTATAATAATACTGTTATAAAACCTTTGAAAATTAGTTTATTTATGTGTATTTATGGATGTGCAAAATGCATCATGTGAATTTCCTTTATTTCTTATCATAAAAGTAGGCTGCGAGCGCGCTCCCAAAACAAATTAAACTAACAACCCGAGTTACTACTGTGGATGTGAGTGTGATCACCCAGGAATTCCTATCCACATTAAACCAAGGCCACCAAAGGCATGAGGCAGACAAATTAAACTAGCAACCCGAGTTACTACTGTGGATGTGAGTGTGATCACCCAGGAATTCCTATCCACATTAAACCAAGGCCACCAAAGGCATGAGGCAGACAAATTAAACTAGCAACCCGAGTTACTACTGTGGATGTGAGTGTGATCCCCCAGGAATTCCTATCCACATTAAACCAAGGCCACCAAAGGCATGAGGCAGACAAATGAAACAGAATAAACAAATTTACAGCTCCACCCACAACCTCCACTCAAAACATCTCACATTTTGCTGAGTGAAACTAATGTAACTGCCTGATGTCATATAAGTTTCACCATTTAAAAATGTAAAATCACAGGAAAACATTACATGAATGAATATCCCTTATTACAGCTACTTAACCAAATTATCACTAGCAAATTTTAAAAAAGACTGTATACTCACAAGAAAGGACTGGGTTAATTGGATTATGATATCTTCTGAATCACTTTCAGCACTGCTGGATTCATTTCCTTTCTTCTTATCATCCTGCATTGAAAAATAAATGAGCTTTTGTCTGAGTTACTTTTTTTTTTTTAATTATTAACTGAGACAGGAAACTGTGCTGCTAAAATATATCAACTGCTTGGTATGCAATATATAAACCAACAGAACAAAATCATATTAGTAATGTGTCCTTAATTTTAATGATGCATTGTTTTCATTATGCATTAATTTAAATTAATGAGAAGATGTTGAAGTCATACTAGCAGCGAGCAGTATCAAAATTATTAAGGGATTACCTCTGATGCAGCATTTCTAAATGAAGTGAGACGTTCGTCTGACATATTCCTAAGCTTGCCTCTTCCTTGAAACTATGTGCCTCTTGTTATTTTCTATGAAGTGTACTACTGCAATGATGTTAACCTATTTAAAAAAGCATAAATACAAGATATCTGTTTTCCTTCAGTACAATACCATTGGCGGTGATGATTAAGGCCACATGTCTCTGCATAATGTTGAACCTCATTAGACAAAAATACAATCTCATTTTTTTTGCAGACAAGATAAGACATGGAATTACTGTAAAGCTTTTCATATGTAGGCCCAAACTAAAATGAGGTTAATAAATAACTAAATTCAAATTTAGTTTATAAAATCAAATAAATATATTATTATAATGGCATAAATTATAAATCATAGCTCAATGAACTTATTATTATTTTAAATAAAACATGCCAAATTCTGGACTGGAGCTCAAGAAAAAAAAACCTAAGCAGAGCATTAGTACAGCCTTCCAAAAATAGGTACTGGTTAGGTATAAGTTAGTGGATTTTAACTTTTTTTCATTAAAAAAATTTAATTAAAATTCTAAGAACTTTATTATAAAAGACAGTTTCGATTTCGATAGACTAGAAACTATTACTGATTTAGAATAGTTGGTCTAGTACAAGGGTGATAAATCCACGGCCCGCACCCGCAAGTGGTTCACCATAATAAATATTGCTGACCACAGATGGCTGATTTATACTAATAAGCTATGAGTTCTTCATTCAATTTACAAAGAAATCGAGGTTAAGTACCGTTTTAGGGAATTGAAAAATGCCTCCTAACGGCCAAATGAATTAAATAGCGAAACGAGGTATGTGGAAGCTTGAAATAGATAACAGGACAAAAAACAAGGACGTTTCGGCATAAAGCCTTCCTCAGCCAACAATAGAAATGAAAATATAACAATGAAAAGAGCACATTTCAATGATGTCATACTATGTCACTACTGTATCATCAGAAATAATAACAGAAAAAATAAAATAGGCACCTTCATCACACATACATAATGGTACCATTGTTTATTTCAAGCTTCCACATACCTCGTTTCGCTATTTCATTCATTTATTAAGCTTGAAAGCAGTCCTTTCATTTATTTCTTCCTAATGGCCACTATTGTTTTAGCATATTTAATTATTTACAAATACTTTTCAAGATGTAAAGCACAAAATTCATGTCATGTTGCACTATATCAAATAGAATATGTTCTTGAAACCTAACTAAGCATGTTCCACACCCCAACCATAAAGGGTGTCGTGACTAAATTTTGCACCCTGAGGTTTCATGCGCATTGGAATCCAAAAAACTTTACTGGCTGAACCAGGGCCAACCGTTTGACCGGAAACCAGTTTTTCGACTTATTCCCTAAATTTCTAGCTTTTAGTCTGGCATAGTGGGCCATCAGAGCATGCTGGACTAAAAAGCCATAAATATTTCACCAAAACCGATTTCCAGCCCCAAGGGTGGGTCCAAAAATATTTTTTTTTAAATTGTAGTTCTGGTCGACCAGTCGGCTTCCAGCAAACCATTTCAACTGGTCAAGTTTTCAAGAATTTGATAATTTTTAACATACCAGTAATCTAGTAATATATTATATTGGTGGCATCTATGGCACCATTATGTATGTGTGATGAAGGTGCCTATTTTATTTTTTCTGTTATTATTTCTGATGATACAGTAGTGACATAGTATGACATCATTAATGTATGGTTCCTAAGTAAAAAGAGGATAAGAGAGTGAGGCTGACGAATCAAGAAACTCTCCTTCAATTTATAAAAAACCTCAGCTCAAGTTAAAGCTACTACTACTTCTACTACTCAAGTAAAAAATTTGCCTTGGTCATCTTTGTTTGTAGTGTGTAAAGGATGAACAACAACAGTATCGTTAATTATTAGTAGCTCAAAGCCCTTAAGGACAAAATGCTGATCTATCAGCACTATAATAAAAGCCTTAAGATTGGCTGGTCTTTGTACCAGCTAATCAAATTTCTTCTTCCATTTCATGCTCCTCTCGCCATTTCAATGCCAACTTCCATTGATATTTTCTGTCAATTTTAAATATGGCATCCTTCTGTCTTCGTGAGATGATCGAGTAGTATGTAGTCCTACACTTCGACGAGTGGCTCACTTGGCCAATCCTGGAATGACGATCTCGACTGCATTTCTCACAGGGGAATATTGATTCCTGGTTAGAATTGGCCTTCCGTATTGTTCTTTTTGTTGCAAGGGCTTCGTTTCGTGCATTTTCTGCCTTTTTTACTTCCTCATACACTGCTGTTTGCCAGCTTGAACGTTGTTCAGCAATGATCTCCCATTTGTTGATTTCAATGTTGGCTTCCCTCATGCTCCTTTTGCAAACATCCATAAAGCTCAGGCATGGCCATCCAATAAATATTGTCCCTTCTGCCAACTCTCCATATGGCAGCATCTTTGGGATACGGCCTTCCTCCATTCTCCTGACATGGCCTAACCAGCAAAGGCGCCTCTTGCTAAGAGCCTAAATGTCCCATTTTTTAAACCAAACGCATTTTCAAATCACTAAAACTTCCTTATAATTTATAACATAACTTCAAGTAGTAATATTTTGGCTAGCTGTGGGGGGGGGGGGGGGGGGGGGGGGGGGGGGGGGAGGGAAGAGGATGTAACTTTGCAGAAACCAAATTTGATTCAGCTATCGCTACGTGTAATGTGTTAGTCTTGTATGTGTGATCCCTGCCGGCCTGCTCATGTCACAGTGACAGGTGTTAGTTTTGGGTGTTGAACTTCATTCTTTAATTTTATATTATCTTCTCATTTAGACAATAATTATACCAAAGCGTCAATGTAAGTTTATGGAGGAGTATTTTAAAGAGTAGAACTTTTTATTAAAAAGGGATGCTATGAAAGTGAAGCCGAGTGCACAGTTTGCAATAGTATCTGTAGTATTGGTCATGGTGGACGTTGAGACATAAAACAACACATCAGTGAAACATATGAAAAGACTGAGTGCCCCAAGTAGATTTCTAAGTTAGATTTCATAGTTAAAACTAGCATAATTCAATAAACAGTTTCCGGTGGAGGCCCCCGGACCCCTCTTTAGCTGGAGGGTATTCCCCCTCCCACCCCAAAAAAAAAAACACTCCATGAAATTGTCCCGTTTTTTCCAGTTTATGATTTGGTCACCCTAATCTAAGTCTAAGTGTAAAAAAAAAAATGCATGCCTAAATTTTGCAGACCAGGATATCTCATTTTCATAATAAATCATAAATTTTGAGCTCATACAGATAGAATTTCAATAAGTTTATATTATTATTCAATTTCTTACGCCTACGCCTGCAATAAGTATAAGGAACAAATGTATTATTCATTATCGACATAGTTATTTTATAGCCTGTATTTTAAATTTTAATCAATTTTTTTTTATAGCTGGCCTCTATTACTTTTTGTAGCCTGTTAAATACTATTGAGCTAAACATTTGATAGATTAAACTGTATGTAATAACTCAACTCACATCACCAAAGCTCTTTCCAAAAAAATTATATATAACTTTACTACCCTTTTTTCAATTTGAAATTAGACTAAATAAAAATAATACCTGCAATATTGAGAAACTAAAAATCAGCTGCTAGATTTAGGAGAAGCACAAAGTAGAACAGAGTTATCCTGACTTTACTGTATTTTTTTTTGAGGGGGGGGGGGGGGGGGGGGGGGGGAAGGAGTTTCCTATGTCCTTATGTAATAATAGATTGAATTAATGCCCCTGAAACACATGGTACAATAATTGACTGAAATTTATTCAAAATGACATTTTTTAAAAATGTTTATCACATAAAAGAAATAAACAATTTAAAAAAAAAAAAAATTATATTATTTTATTATCCAAAATATCAATACCCACTGGAAGTTAGGCTACTAAATGTTACCTCCGAATTCTCTGATAAAAATTATATCATCTACAATCCACGTGTAATAGAAGTCACTTGGAAATAAAGCGCACAAGGCTAATCAACACACAATTCCTTTAACAAAGACAAAAGATTCTTCATCAAAAAATGTGTTCTCTTATTCTAAGTCTGTTGATTAGTAATTGGATTTGCAAAGCTATTAAGCAAAATTTGTTAATAATAATTGTAGTTAAAATGGATTGATAGTATTATGAAAGCAATAAGTATTTTTATTTTTTCTTGTAAATTTACATTATATGATTTTTTTCAAAAGAAATACTGTCTAAAGGAATTTTTCACTTACAATAGATCATTTTAATACCTTAGTTACCTGTGTGTCAATCCACAAATATTTTTTTCCAATAGATGAAAATTAGGCTAGATTTTTTAAAGATGCATAATATTTTGAACACATTGAATAAGTAATTGAAATAATCCCATTTTACTATGGGTTCTTGATAGAACATTGACACTGTCATTCACTCTTTGGTTGGTACTGTTTCTTGTTTGGTTGCTAATTTAACACCTGGATGTAATTTGCAAATCTTCTACTTAAAAAAAAAAGAGAAAATTAAATTTTTCTTTAATTATTAACGTGTTATTAATTTACAATATTAACTTTAATTTCAGAAGAGTTCTTATTTATTTATTAAATGGTTTCAAAAATTAAAACCAGAAAAAAATATTTAAAAAATTATTTTTTTCTGTGTTACTTTAAAAATTAGTTTGCTTAATTTTTCACTTTATTTTTTTTTATCACGTATAATGTTAACGTTTTCGAATAATATAATAATATCTTCCCCCAAAGTAAGATTTCCCAAGGTTTTGCGTGATTTTTAAAAGTATCCCAGATCCCAAGGGGGGTCGTGAATTCCCAAGATCTTGGGAAATTTCCCAAGATGTGGTAGCCCTGTACTGAACAGCAAGTCTTGCAAAGCTTTTTTAAAAAGTTTCGTTTTTCTAATACTAGATCGAAATTTGATTTAATAATTTTTTAAAAACTTTTTAAAATGTTTAAATGGTCTTGTTAAATAGATTTGCTTTGCAGGACAATTATGTGTCCAAATTATTGTATTTATGGGCTTTCTTCATTTAACGAAATAGTAATAGTAAAAAAAAAACTATAACTAATGCTAGGGGGCCGACCATAAAGTACGTCACGCTCCAGAGGGGGGAGGGGGTGTAAGAAAGTGTGACAGTTATTGACAAGGGGGAAGGGGGGTCAGGCCATGTGTGACGTCACACATTAATTTATTTTTTTTTTTTTATTTCTAATTCATTTTTTATTATTTTAGTAGAATTTAATAGCTTTAAAAATAATTTTCAAAAATTTTGTGAAACATTTGAATTAGTTTTATGTCAAAATAGCATGAAATGCGTATCTCCTGAATGTGTTGATCACGATTCCTCAAGCTAGGAGCGCTAGTATGCTGTTGCGAAGCCTTGTTTTATGTATAGCCTTGCCGAGATCAACAGGAGTTTTCAAAGTACAACTATATGATTCTTTATTGTCCTTCTTTGCAGACCAGCTTACTTGATCGAATTTGCAAAGTATGTCACTTATAATTTGCCTCACAAACAAAAATGTAGAAGAAACATGCAGGGCACGCAGAGCTTGGGCTCGGGAGAATGTGCCAACCCAAACTGTTCCAGAATCAACTCAGATAAAACGCATCAGTCTTTTGAGAATCGCTGCTAGAAGGCAAAGAGAACTCATGGCAGTTATTGCCAGAAGAGAAAATGCACATTCAGAGGATGTTGAGTGGCTATATGAGGATGAAGTTGATCTGTCTGCAATTATCCTTCCAGGAAACGATGATGGTGAAAGATTGATGCCAGTCGTAACTATGGATGACACTTCACTTCACCATCGATGGATGCTGTCCAGTAAATATTTAAATATTTTTTCGCCAACTCCAAGCACCAGTACTCAACAGTACTGTTTGGCGGCCTTGAACGGTTCCTAATCTCTGTGCACATATTATATAATGAAACTGTCTGCGTAACAGTACTTTATAGAATCACTTCACTGGCATTTTAAAAAAAATATTTTAGCAATGGCAAACCTAATTTACACAGGGTTCAAATCACCCTAGCCAGTCACGAATTTAATTAATTTATAACTTTTTTTTTACAAATTGATATTGGAGACAAAAATTCCTTAACACCGCTCTGGTGACAAGCAGCTGATCGTACAAAATGGAAAGTAAACAATGGCAATTAACTTCAAGAAATTCTGTGTAACTGTGTAAAAACAAGATTACATTTGGAGTACAAATACCAATACAAATACAAAATTCATTATTTTTTTTACTATTAGTACTTAGTATTATTTACTATTCTATGGCTCACTATGCAAAGAAAGTGTAGAAGTGTAAATAAAGTTAAAGTTAAAGCCGCACAGTTTAATTTATAAGTAGTAGGCTTGGATTTAATAATTAGGCCTACCTAAATTACATTCATACAAATTAAAACCGACTATGTTACTATGTAGGGAAATTAATTTTTTTAAAGTATTCGAATTGAATGTTGAAGAAACTTCAAATTCAATGTTTTATTTTTTATTAATAATTAATTTTGATAAAAAAATGCAAATTAAATGTGTTGCAGTTTCAGTTGCATATGACTGGTGTGGCTACTTACTTTCACAACCAGCCCTCACCCTACTTAAAATGTTTTATAGTAATAGTTTAATAATAGTACTGAGTGAAAAAAAAAAAGCTGTCATGAGCATCATGCATGATGGTTCAACTCCGGTAAAAAGGTTGAATATTTTTGAAGGCGACAGTTATATTTATCAATAAAAAGCCATGGGTAAGGTGTAAGACTATTGTTTAAAGGCCAGCAAATATTATAGAAAATGAGAATGAGAAGTTAAATTTTTTTTTTTGGCTACTCCTAGTTACGATTGCCACGATTTATTTTCCAGGGTGTGACGTCCCTTTGTTTATTTTTACTAATTTATTTTAGGTATCGATTTAGGGTTCAGGTTAGGCATAGGGATCGATTTAGGGTTCAGGTTAGGCATAGGGATCGATTTAGGGTTTCAGGTTAGGCATAGGCATAGATGACTTCACGGGATGTGTTAACCAAGATGGCGGCCATTGAGAAAATAGTGGCAATCGTAGTCAAAATTTACCTCTTTTTTTTTTTGAAAAACTTGGACACGGTGTAAAAAACTAACCCCAGTTAAGCCCTACTACATTATAACATTGTTGGAAAAAAATAATAAAGAATAAAGCCTAAATTAATATTAATAACTTTATAATTTTATACGAGGCATACTGGCTACTCATTTAAAATTCAAAAATTATATTATAATTATTATAACAATAAGAGGCTAGGCTTATATCACTCAGGCCTCATAGTTTCCCAAACATTATAGTTCCAGAGTGCACACATTTTTGGGGGGTCAAACTTTGCTGCACTTTGCACAACACTAAAAGTTTACTTACAGAGACATGAAAAAATTAGATAATATATTGACTGTAAGCCTAATTATATTTACAGTATACTCCTATATTGCCCAATAATGGGCATCATCATAGTGCTGCAAAGTGACATAGAATGACAGATTAAAACAAAGCAGTGCATGTCAATAAAGTTTTCATAATTTTTTTTCAACAGTTGTAACCTCAGACTCATACTTATCAAAATGTATTATTTTGTTTAATTGACTGAAATTCTGAGAAATAATGTTCAAACAATCAAGATACTCAAAGCTAGATGTACCACAAAAAAGAGCAAATTACTTCTACTGTGTCCGGGTAACAAATCCAGAGATCCATGACTCTATATTAACCGCCTTGGAATGGATTGTTGACAAGGAAGCTCAGTATGAAGACTTCTGCTACTCAAAAGAGATACTGCAGGTTACACTTTGTGAAGTGAGTCTTTATATTAAAAATGTGCTAGCTTAATAAAATACTTAAGTACTGTTAAAGTTAAGGAATATGCCAACAAATGATAGGCATGGGGATAAGTAGTGAAGAAAAAAAACTAAGGATTTTTTTAGAAATTGGATCATTCATCTCAAAAGGGGAAAAATGATTCTTCTCATAAAGGGAAAAAATGGAATAATTTATTAAATGAAAAAAACAAATAAAGCAAGGAAATACTTTTATAAATTACAGCACTAAAAAAATTATGTTCAATCACAATCATTAAGTCTTGTAATTTTAAACAACACTATAGTACTAGTATTTGTAGAGTACCCTTCAACTTGATCATAATATATCAATAATATCATGTGCTTGATGTTAGCAATGGTTAATTCTTGATTACTTTGCTAATGACTCACAGAAATGATTTTGACGTTGTCATTGTTGAGTATTTTTACAAAATTAACTTTATTTTAAATATTTTTGTCTAAACAGGGGAAACAAGGTAAACTTATCTTGTCTTGCTCTCAGAAATTTAATATATTGAAAAGAAAGTTTGAACTTGGTGTTCAATATTTTAATTTTTAAAAGATGCACAGTTTTTTTTTTGTATAAATGATGCATTTTTTTCCATTTATGTAATCGTACTTGATTTATCATTTACCCGGTTATATAAATGGGTAAACTTCTGGTGAAAACACGATTCATATCTCCTTCATTTTTCCTGTCAAAAATACATTTTATTGTTTTTCCATCAAAACTTATGGATTTACCCCAAAACTTTTTTCTGCAGTATTGTGAAATTTATCCATGGCTACAGTTCTTAAAATATATTTGCATCATATTATTATCTTCCCTATGAAAAACAAGAAAAACTGAATTTTGGGGGTTTGTGCTGAAAATTTGATAGAATTTGTTGTCATCGGCAATGGAACTTTGTGCAAAGTTTTAGCTCAATGGGCATATATTATGGAGAATGGGTTGATTAGGATTTTGCCACAAAGAAACACACAAACAAAAACATAGTTAAAATAATGGATTTAATTCCCTTTGAAAAACAGGAAAAACTGAGCGTGGGAGATGGGGCTGAAAATTTGATAGAATGTGTTGTATAAGTCAAGTTTCAGTTCAATAGAGGATGATAGGAAGTGGCTTAATTAGCCTTGCCACAAGGAAACACATGAACAAAAACGAAGTTCAAATAAAAGATTTTAAAATTTGGTCCATGCTAAATTGGGGGCAAAAGTGGGAATAAGCCCTGTTCCTATATCAAGGGGCATCACAAACAACATTATTCATGCACACTATATATTTAAGGTAAATTTATGTATAAATGTATACATATATAAATTTTGTGAAAGGGATAAGACATGTGATTATTGTGAGATTTTCATTAAAAAATATTCTTACATTATACTCAGGTGTGTCTAGAAACAGAAGATGATATTACAAAAGCAAGAATGGCTCTTCTTGGTGTGTCAGACCTGCTTGGACAAAATCTTCCAAAAGCTAAACTCCAGATAAAGGGCTTAACTACTTTGAATGACAAAGTTTTAGTTGCAGATGTGCAATATGGTGAGGACTTTAGGTACGGGTTCTCTATCAAATAATATAAAACTAAAAACCCAATAGAGTGACATGGATTTTTTATTCATCGTTAAAAATTAAAATGCAACAAATTACTGGAAGTTTATCATTCATTCAATGAATTAATATAAAGTTGGAAAGTGGAATGCAAATAATGAAGAATAAATTATGATTTTGGCAGGAAAAATAACTCTAAAATATTAACTTAGAATTATATCATTATAGTCTATATTGCTGAAAATTTCATTGCATTAGGCTCATTAGCATTATTAGTTTAAAAGTTATCTATCTTAATGTAAAAAGGTCTCGGCCGCTGTCACTTTCATGAAATATTTTTTCTAATGCCTACTTTTTTCTGATCTGCATTACATTTATTTTAAATTTACCCTACTTTTAGATGGACATTATCTGTTTGTATTGAACATTTTATAGCAATAGCTTTAATGGTTTAGTAATTATGTCATTTTTTTTAACAAATAAATTTTTCGACAATTGTTGTTATCCACGCCATATGCTCATAAAGTCATATTTAATTAGATATAATAAGTTAATTCACAATTTATTCTGTTAAACATTGTATTTTAAATGTCTCCTCCAAATTTGAGAGCTTTAACTTTAATAGTCAAAAAGATACAAGCAAAATAGTACAAAAAGAGTAATAATGCCATCACAGTTTTAAAAATTAAATACAAAGCTGAATAGTGGGGAAAAATAAATCATTAAAAAATTCATAACTTTTCTCCTTTAAGTGATAGAAAGATTATCTTGGTGTCATTGGAAAGCTTAAAGCCAGCTCTTTCTTTCCTATGATATGGTCTATGTCTCTGTCAGATGCATTTGAAAATTTGAGTTGGAGTACCTAATATTGTTTATAATACTACTTATTTTAGAAGCAGATCAATTTTAAGTTTACATCAGTAAAGATCACCTTGTTATATTTAAAAAGAGTAAAATGGATTAGTTATTTATATTTAATATACTAAACTATTAATACTATGTTGATCAAATTCATTTTTTTTAACAGACACTTTGCTGATTTACTGACATCAAAAATAAAAGACGCTGGTGTCAATGTTATTCAGGATAATGACTATAGAGCTCATATGACAGTTATGAGAGTATGTTGATTTCTTTTGAGCGATAAACTGTTATTAAACCAGCTCTGTACAGAATATTTGTGTATACTGGTACCGGTATCAATAAATATTGCCTTAACCCTTATCTATTTATACATTTCTCTTTTATTGGATAAAAACATAATGAGACTAATGACTATTCTTTCAGGTTACTAGTTCAAAAGCAAGGAAAGCAAAAGTTGAAAAAATTAATCCATGGATTTATGTGAACCTCAAAAAGACACATTTTGGTGATCAGATGGTGAATTCAGTTCATCTCTGTAAAATGGGATCTGAAAGGCGGGATTATGATGGCTTTTATGAAACACCTGCAGAAATCATCTTTAGAACTGAAGAGTAACAAGCTTACAAAAAATTCACTGGTGAGCACCTTGTGGACAGATGTGACAAGTGGGCACATGCTACTGACCAGTTAGAGTTAAGGAGAGATCGTAGGAAAACTTAATATTTTCGGGGAATGATGAAAACTCAAGTTTCATTTGATTCAGACAAAGTCCAAGAAGTCATGCATTTTAAGCAAGATTATGCGTTTAAAAAATGCATCCCACTTCTTTTTTTTAAAAAAAAAGCCAAGAAAGAATGCAACGATTACCTGTAATGAACACACAGAACAGAATGAATGAGAATAGGCTTAAATCTGTTAAAGATAATGTGATATATTACAAACCACTCCTAGTTAATAGAATAGCATGTTGCAAAATTTAAAATTTGAAATTCATCAAGGTCAGTCAACTGAACACTATTATTCAGGCAGGCTTTTCCTGTTGTAATTATATTAATGAAGACATTTATAGGTTTTTTTTTAGGCATTTATCTTTAATTGTGGCAAGAGAAATCAAAAACTAATTACAGTATGTAAGAGAGTTCAGGATGTTAGAGATTGATTTGAAGGGAAAAATTGATACATGAATTGAGTTGATTTTACTCTTGTAATATTATTTAATGTGCTAATTCTTATTGCCATGAGCATTGTTATCAAGGTTGAGTTAGTCAAATTTTAGTTCTTTAATTTTTAAAAAATATTTTTTGCTGGCATCGGTCCGTCACAATGGGACGATGGAGTGAGCTTCGGAGGACGAAATCCACATGGCCTGGGATTATACTTCAAGGATTATAAGCTGGTTCCCAACAGCAAATCGCCTCTCTCCACGCTGCTGGGTAACCCAAGAGAACATCATTGGATGATACAGCTTGGCACCAGTGACGTCGCAGGAGTTGTCGGATTTGCTCAGTTTAGACCACTCGGCCACCCAGCACCCATTTTTAAATATAAGACAAATGATACATTTGTAAAAAAAAAAAAAATGGGGGGGATAATAAATCTACATTGACAGTGGTGTAGCTAGGGTTATTGCTGCCCAAGGTAGGCCAAGATTTTTGCCACCCCCTTCAACAAAAAAAAATTCTGCAGTTCATCAGAAATGCCATTCCTCCATAAAAAGCAAAAATGGCTGCGCAGGATGGAACGCTCCTTCAGCACCCCCCCCCCCTTTTTATTTTCATACACCACTGACTATCAGATAATGAATGTTCAAATAAATTTTTACCACTTTATATTTTAATTTTATAGAAGTTTATTACTTTTCAATGATAGGCATAGATTGATTTTGACTTTACTTTGGTATTGGATGTTTGTAAAGATAATGCACATATTTTTAACCAAATATTTTTTCTATCCTTGGTAAAAGTTTGATATTGGAGATTAATAGTAACTATTACTAGGTCAAAACAATCACTTACTGTACAGAGTATACCAGAGTATTCAACAGCTTGCCCTATTTTACTATATGACAGTGAGTGGAATAAAATCAATTTAAATTGAGAGTTTGCAATTGGTAAATGTCAGTTTGTTTTCCCTATCATCAGTGTTTTTATGCTTTGACTTACTTTATGCAAGTGTGTTTTTTTATCTTTGTGAGGGAGGAAGACCCTAAAGCTCCAAATTCAAACCCAGAGATGGAGTCCCGTTGCAGTATGACAAAGACACAATAAAAATATCTGGCAGCTGCTGTGATGCTTCTGGTGTCAGGCTGTATCATTTACTCATGATGGTACCTTGACCTTGGGTTATCCAAATGTGTGGAGGAGGGTTTTTCAGGGGNAAAACCAAAACTTGATCAGCTTGTTCAGTTGTTTATTACTGGAGGCACCACAGGATATAGCAATTTAAATAAAACCTGCAAATTCAGGGTAGTTGGGGGTGGGGGGGGATAATGCCCTACCCAAATGACGTCTCTGATGATTTGCTGTGTAGGGAACTAGCCTATCTTAAAGAAAAATCCCAATTCTTGTGACGGACGGATATCAGCTTAAAAAAAAAAAAAGGACAGTCACTACCAAGGAAGGGAGGTGGCCAGCTCCCTTTTTTAAAAAATAGTCATTATTAAATATAATGGGCATGGCATGGGCCCCGGGCATGGGACATTTATAAATTATATCGATTTTTGAAATGGAATGAGGGAAATGCCATGAGGGTTATCAGGTAGAAAGTAAAAGAAACGGAGTGTGGGAAAACCTTAAAGACGACGAAACGTTGCTTTGTTTTGTCTTTCTTCAGGCTTTTCCTTCCCTGGCCCAGTGTTTATTACCTCTAAAATTCCAGCAAAGAAATGTTCGATAACGCTTTTTTTGAAGACCTTGGAACTAAGGAGATTTAATTCCCTTAGGGAAAGTACCTAAATCTATTTATAGAAAGCTAGTCATTATATTGCACAACTTCCGGGAAATCATTATCAGTTTACTTTGACTACGTCATGCGTCGATTAATCTTAACATGGGCTCAATACATTTTCTGTTAAATACGCTACCGGTTCATGCACCAGGCATTAACCGTCTTAACTTACAAGTCTGAACTTAGATATCTCTGCACGCAGCACGCAGGTAAGAAATTAAATTTAATTAATTCTTACTGGTTAGTTACGAGCCAGGCCTAGCTAGGATAGCTAGGCTAAAATTTATTATGATTCCATATTCATATAATTTATAAATATAATATTAATTAATATAGTCGATAGTATTATGATATAGTTAAAATATAGTAATAGTAAAATATTTTATTTTGTTAAAAATTATATAGTATAGAGTATTGGCTAAATATTTTTTTATATCAATAATTAGGCCTCCGCAATAATGTCAGTTAAGTAAGAGATGAATGACTATGAATCATGAACAATGAATATGAAATGATCCCTAATCATAATCAATCACTGCCTAACTTCATGACGCTAATTACTAATTATTGTAATTATTAAAATTACTTATACTTATATTAAAATTTAAGTTTAGTGACTTTAAACATTAGTAAGTCAATTTTTTTATCACTTTAATTTTAATTACTGTATATACTAGTCAATAATTGGCATGAAACAGAGCCTCTGATTGGTTTAAGTTAAACTTAATGCTCCTTAAGTTTTTAAAAATAATTTTATAAAGTGTTTTGGACAGCATGTGTGAGTGGTGATGCCTAAATGCCCCATGGTGCTAAATGTCCTCTTTACCCTTACATGTTGATATTCATCATAAATTGTGTTATAGTAGTAGCAAATGGTTGTTGCCAGTAGGCTATGTGTTTTTTTATAATGTAGGTCTGTTATCAAACTTATTAAAAGAAACGAAGTGTCTACACGTCCGGCCAGACACTGCCAAAAAGAAATAGTTAAAACTAATAAAACTACCTTTACTATGCCCTGCTGATATCTAAACTGCTAACAATGAACAATCATTGATGTAACAGATTTTATCTTATAGTTATAGGGCTTACAACTCGGCTATGTAATATCCTTTTTTTTTTCTTCTTTTTTATCAGTGTTAACAGCATGGCGGCAACCATTTCTCCCTCTACAACCAGCTCAGCAAACTCTGGGAGCAATGACACCACCAACCAAGCCAGAGAAGTTGCATCCATCAAAGCAGCTTTTCCAAACAGATGCAGAGTAATATGTGACATTGGCAACTACACCAACGTAGTCACTGTGCAGCCAGAAAACTTGGATGTTACAATAAAATTTCAATTAACATGTAAGACTCTTTTTTTTTTTATCCTTCATAAGGTAATATTTTGTCTTAAGCAAATGATGAGTCAGAGTATAATATTTCTAACATTATATACCATAACTATGCTTATAGCAGAGAAACAAGGCTTTAACATTTTTATTTTAAGGAAAGGGGTATGTTGAGTCATGTAATTTTCTTCCCCTGTTATTCTTAAGTAATTATCAGCTATATCTATTTCAATGGTCTATATTTCACAAACAGAAAACTCTGAATACCAACTTCCTTTCCCCTGCAGTAGAGAAAATAGGACCATATTTATTAAAAATTAATTTCTAACTGTTAACATAAAAAATATACGATGTAAAACATTTCAATAATCACAATAAATTAGAAAATATTTAAAAAATTTTAAAGAATTTTAATTGATACAATTTTTCATACTTTTTCAATGAAAACAAGAAAATATGAGTTATATTATTATTATTATTATATTATAATTCAAATTTATTATTTTTTTAAAGCTGCATATCCAAGTGTAATTCCTGAGATATCCATTCGCTCAGAATCATTGTCACCGGAAAGTATACTAGATGTCCAACAGAAGCTGAGATCCCATGCCAGAAAGCTGATTGGTCAGCTCATGATTCAGACGCTCATTCAAGAGGCTGAAGTTGAACTGCGTGCCGTGGGTCTCAAGCCAGGAAAAGCAGCCGTAGCAGCCAGTGGTAAAACACAGCCAAAGAAAAGGAAACAAAAGAAGAAGAGGAAGTCGGAGGAGGAGGAGGATGAAAACAAGAAGCTCCCATCAATGAAAACTGCAGACGATGTCGTCAAGAGAATTATCTGGGATGATAATTTAGAAAAGGATGATTTTATTGTTGGATACGTGGACAGATTTAAAGGACTTGTGGAGAAAAGCTTCTCAGATTTCACCTGGGAAGACCTAGCCTCTTTAGACAATGATGTTCTTGCCGTGCCCAAACATAGGATCCAGTACTTTAAATATAAAACTGTCAAAGTCTGGGACAAAACTAGAAGAATTGACAACGTCTTTGGTTCGGCCGAAGGAACAAAAACGATTGATGTTGTTATGAAAGAATTTGAAGAGATGGGTGGCCTTCAACCAGCAGGTGGGGCTGTTGCTGACCGGACAAATAGTAATTCTGAAACTGATGCTGATAGTTCCGATGACAGTGATGATGATGATGGTATAATGGTTACTATAGGACCGTCAGCCAGCATTGGCACCGATGCAAAAAACAGAGCCCAGCAAAAACAGAATGAGGACGACAAAATCGATAGAGACAACGAGGAGAGAAACGGGTTCAACCCATACTGGCGTGACAAGCTGCGACCAAACTACTTCCTGTGCGTCAGAATCAGCAACGATGATATCATGGATAAAATATGCAACATACAGGACAGGCTGATGGAGGCCGAGCCACTGTTCAGCGAGTGCTGCATCCCCGGGGTTGCACTTCATGTTACGCTGAACACCCTGGGTCTCGACACCCCAGAGCATCTGATTCAGTGTGTTGAAGCACTGAAGAAAATGAAACCAGAATTGGAGTCAGCCTTGCCAAAGTCTGTGTTGAAACTTCAGGGTGTTTCTAACTTTTACAATCGTGTTGTCTATGCCCAGGTACAATACCAAAAAGATTTTCTCGACTTTTGCAATTTATTGAAAACTCTCCTGAGCGAAGCTGGCGTCCAGATCAGGGATGGGTACGAGTTTGTACCTCATGTGACCATCATGAAGACAACGAGGCCTGTCTCCAGATTGCGGGGCACGAAAAATGTCAACCCTCAGCTGTATTCGAAATATGTCAACACAGAGTTCGGAGAGCAGAAGATAGATAGCATTTATTTGTGTTCTATGGGGGATGACAGGAGAGAAGATGGTTTTTATAAGACCCCTTTGGAGTTACATTTCAATGCATAAGACTTAGTGTGAGAATGTGTGAAGGAAGATTTTTTTGTATTGCCAGAAAAAAAAATAGTGATTTTTTTTTTAAAATTCCAAAAAGCTTTTTAATGGCTTCTAGTTCATAACTTTAAATAATGTAAATATTTATTTTGTAGTGCAATTTGTCATTTGATCACTTGTGATAAATATAAAACTATTAAAATTCTGTTTACCTAATTTCTGTGATGGGTAGATAATAATAACGTTTTAAGAGTGTTTAATCATTTTAAATTGAGAAAATGGTAGATGCAGATTTAAACTGTACATTTATTCTGGTTTCTTTTTTTATTTGCTTTTGCGTGAATTTTAAGGAAAATTGTTCAATGTTGGATCTGTGAAATCTTACAAGTTTTACCAATGACACATTTGACTACAGACTTAACCTGTTCAGTTTTGAAGTATTTGTATCCCCAAAAGTTAGAATTTAAAAAAAAAATATTTTTTGTGATGCTGAGAATTTATTGTAAACTATCTGTTTTGATTAACTAGCACTTATTCAGGCCTTTTTTTATGCCGTTGAATACTCCACTCTTATAAGTAGGACTTAAATGGATTGGCATTAATAAATGATAAAGTGTAAAATATTATTTAAAAAGTGATACATTCCAAAATATCAGAGTATTGATATAAATGCCATAAATTGATTTTGATTTAAGTTTCAAAAATATAAAACTAAATATTTTTATGCCCTGGTGAAATCCCAAAAGTTTAGCCTGCTTACACCCACATACATCATTTGTGCAATGCTATAGATAAACCCCAAAGTGCCTTCTTGGATGGTCATCCCTTTCGCACCGCCCCTCTCTCCCACAGTATGCACTGGTTGCTGCAACTCTTCATGGAAAATGATTTTTTGTAATATCTGGACCAATAGAATATATCTAATTTGAAAGTACAAGATATAATCAGGTCAGTGGTGCAGCCAGGAATAGTGCCCCCCCTTAGTAAAAAAAAAACCACTACAGTTGGCCAAAAATTCCACCCCTCCATCTAAAGAAAAAAGTTCCACCCAGGGCGGAATGCACCCTCCTTCCTTTACCACTGGATAAAAAAATCTATAAGAATAATTATTACAAATTTGTATAAATTACACATTTTTATTTCTTGTACTTTATACTTCCCCAGCGTTTGCTATTTATATGATCGTTTACTATTTTCTGATTTTTCTATGCTGCAATTGCAGTGTGTTTGATTGCGGCATTGTGTTCATGAAACATGACCAATAAATTAAATTGATTATTTTGCCCATTGTGTTTCGTCTCGACTTATTCTCCTGCATCACAATTCCAAGAGGTTTAGGGGTCTGGGGATTTATGAAACATAACTCTTCAATTTAAAAGAATAACCGTTTAAGCCAAATGCAGTTATTTCCCTGTAAATAAATAATAATCGTTTCTGTATTTCAGTGGTTTCCATATCTCAAACAATGCAACCAACAAAATTAATTTTGTCCGCATGGTTATGCCATGAAATGTTAAGTCTCATCATGCCACGACATGTTTAGTCTCATTTTGTCATGACATGTTTAGTCTCATTATGTCATGACATGCTTAGTCTCATTTTGTCATGACATGTTTAATCTCATAATGTCATGACATGTTTAGTCTCATTATGTCATGACATGTTTAATCTCATTATGTCATGACATGTTTAGTTTCATGTCATGACATGTTAAGTCTCATTGTCCAGGAGTTAACTGTTTACCCCGGAAGTGAAAAATGATCAGAATCTCGAGGGAATAAACATGAGTAGTAGCATAGACAGTGTTTGCAAGACTTTTTGAGACCAATTGCCAAAAGTTCGATCCAAAACTAAACTTTTTAACCCCACTTTTTATCCAAAACACAAATTTATATCCAAAACACAACTTTTTTTCCAAAATCCTACATTGTATCCAAAACTTCAATTTTTTAAGCAAAAACCCCACTTTTTTTTATCCAAACCCTAACTATTTATTTTAAAAAAAAACACTTATACAAAACTTCACTTTTTATCAAAAGCCCCACTTTTTATTCAAAACCCACTTTTTTAATCACAAACTTCTGACACTCCAATTTAACCAGTATACTGAGCTTCAGTTAAGGAAAGACAGCGTACACTTCGTGTGCCGATAGAGTGTGCTCCGCGTGCCATGGCTGTGTCGCCACTGGCACAGGCCTGTATGAACAAAACCTTTTAAAGCAGATGTGTCAAACTCGAAGCCCGCGGGCCACATGCGGCCCGCCGAACAATTAAATCAGGGCCACGAGGTCTTGACCGGCGTACAATTATATCCCAAATGCACACTTTGCTGAAAGACTTAGCTTACTTCGCGCCGAGTTCACAAGGCTCTTCAGTGACTTTGAAGCACAGAATTTCGAGCTGTATCGTAACCCATATGTTGTAGACGTGGAAACTGCACCTGTAAATTAGCAGATGGAGCAAATAGAGCTGCAGTGTAATGGGACACTAAAGGCAAAGTATGACACAGTTGGGCCTGCACAGTTCACTCGTTTCATTCCTGAAGAGATGCTCCAAATTCTTCTCCATGCGGCTCGAACCTTGGAGCATGTTGGGTAGCACATATCTATGTGAGCAGGTGTTTTCTGTGACGAAGATGAAAACAAAACATCTCACAGGAGTGAACACTTGCAGTACGTGCAGTCCATCATGAGAATCTCAATGAACCATGACGTTACTCGCAACATAAACGAACTTAATTAATTGTTTTTTTTGTAGCCAAGAAAATGTGCCAAACATCCAGCTCTGACAAATTGGCAAAAGAACGAACATTGGTATGCCAATGTTTTTCGATTATTAAAACGTTTTTCTGTTTTCATTTATATAAATGGTGTTGTTTTTTGTTTTTTTTTTAATATTAATTAATTTTCCGCTTATATAATGTTTATCCTGTTGGGTCCGCAACCTTATTAGTGATTTGAGTTTTGGCCCGCCGAGCGATTGCGTTTGACACCCCTGTTGTAAAGGAAGTTACGGCGTGGAAACAAATCGCCAAACAACGAGTTCCAACGTAACGGGAAAGAGAACAAAAAAGTCCAGAGCATGCGACGCAATCACGTCTATGTGAGAGATTTTCTAGGATTCGAAGGGAATTCTTTTCACCCAAGGACCCCCCTCCCTACATCTTATTCCCCTCTACCCCCAATTTTTTTTGTTGTTGTTTTTGTTTTTGCTTTACTTGTATGTTTTACTTATTGGTCGTCGTTGGGACTTCTTCGTCACGTTAGGACTTCCTTTTTTTTTAATTTTTAAAGGCAATATTTCAAACAAGATTACCGTTGCAGTATGGTGACATTTCGTACATAACTTATGGCGTCTAGGTAAAATGGTATGTCTTAGGATTTGACTACGGCATCCGATAGTCTTCCCTTACCTAAAATTCTTGGTCATCCATACTAGGAGTTAGGAGCAGCCCACCACGTACGCAACCATTTTTTTTTTAAATTTCAAAACAATTCCAAGTAAAGATAGCATTGATTTAACTGTAAACAATGGTTCGAGGCTACGTTTGCAGCGTATTGGTCTGGATATCATTTTTTTTTTTACGTTTACTTGGTCGTTTGTCGTGTTTGGGTTTCTATGGAAACAAGCTAGTTATTTAAATAGTTGTTTTTTCAAAGGAACTTCAGCGAAATAGATATTACAAAAATCTGTTTTAGAGCCACATGTTTACAGAGTTCAATTACAGATAAAATCTCTTTAAAAATCCTCATCAGCTATAAACGGGGGATCCTAAAGAGACTGTGTTAATGACTGTAACTTATTTACGGATTATGTCGTGTTGAGAACAAAAGGAAGTCGCACTACACGAGCTCTGGTTCACTCCGGTACTCAGGGCCCGGCCTTTTGGTGGTACAGGTAAAGCAGGCAAATGACTGGATCACCCAATTCTAGAGGCGCCATTTTAAACCTTTATAGACTTTTGGGATATACAAAATTTAAAAAGATAGTTTTTTTTTATAAATGAAGAACGGTAAGAATTTCTTTTTTTTTTATTTGGATTATAAATGAAGGACTGCATACAAGCCGTGTGTAGGAAATAGTAGAACAAGGTGTTTGGACGCTTGAATTAAGAAACAGGACAACCAGACAAGAACGTTACGGCTAAGAGCCTTCCTCAGCAGACGGGACAAATGGAAATAGGACAATAAATAGAAACAAGCTAAAAACTTAACTGATCGCCATTTATTTTTCCACCGACAACAATTCAGTGATAACATTTTAACAATAAAAATAATAAAAAACGGTTCTTGATTATTGGGTTAGAAAAACGGGGTATGTGTAAAGGTGATGTTTTATTATGTTTGCTGGTGTCGCACCGATTGAATAATTTTAGTATTAATTATTTCATTTCTTGAGGTACTGATATATTTTCACCGCAGAATTAGAAAATGCGAGGATGGAAGTGGAACGTGCAAAACAAAGGATTGAGTGGCCGCGGGGGGGGGGGGGTGTTTACAATAAGACCGTTGTAACGCAGACACACAAACTATGTTATTATGAAGTCATAGCATAATTTAGTTGTTATTTTCTTAAAGTTATTTGTAAAGGAATATCCATGCAAAGTAACCACCCATGAACATTATTTTAATCTTTACAGTCAAGTCGATGCCTGGATTTTTTTTCTCAAAAAAAAATGTATATGGTAATTTCTGTTTGAATTATTTAGCTACCACAAAACCCAGAAAACGCAATCTTTTAGAAGGATCGTGTTTTACATAAACTTAATGAGTATTGAAAGATTTTGGAAATGTAGTTTGATTTAAAAATCAGTTGACATCGACATCATGTCTTCCAATTTTAACCCACGACATTGTCGGCATCTTCGAAAAATAATATTAAAAATGCGAATCACAAGTTGGATAATCTTAAAGGGAAATAACTCTCGTCAACAAATTTACTTCTCCCAGATATGAATCGAAAAAAAAAAAAAACAACGGGTAAGAATTTGTGTTTCAAAGTGGCTATTCGGACGCGGACAAGAGTGAGAGGATGAGTTTCTAAAAAAAAACAACTATGTATATATATTTAAAATAATATTATTGGGTTTGTAAGACAAAAAAATTAGATCTAGTATCATATGAAAGATAATTGAATGGACTATATGTTTGTAAACTTACTTCTTCAGTTTAACTAAAATAAACTACTACAAATGACATCCGAATAGCCCTTTAGTCTAAAGCAGTGGTCAACTAATGGTGAGCCGCATGCGGCTCTTTAGCGACCTGAGTGCGGCTCGGCCAGCCGGTCACAAATCGGTTTTGACTCCGAAAAACATGGTTCTTGACAGGTTCTTGAAAAGGAATTTGGCTCTCAATTATTTTTGTTTACTCGTCCTGCTGATGAGTTTTGGCTCTTCTGACTAATGAGTTTGCCTACAACTGGTCTAAAGGGACACGGGTCAGAATAGCCGCTATTAAGTGCCCATCTTAAGACGATTTTACCGCCCCCTGATATTGGCGCCATGGTAATTGGCCCTCTCGCCCACCCCTTGGCAGGGGCCTCGGTAGCCAGGGCCTCCTCTGCTGTAAAGACGGGCCTGGCACGAAGAACTCTTCGGACGGAGTGGGGTTCTTTTTGAAGATACACAATTTCTGTGATGCTGGTTTGGACGAGACACGTGTTTCTTGAGTTGTTTCATTTATAAAGAATTTTTTTATACGACGAGATATGAGATGTACACGATCTTTAATTAAGTTCATCATTATAGATTTTGTATTCTTTAAATAAACCTGCTGCAAGGAGGGGGGTAGCGAGGTTTAGATCCACCCGAGGCTGGCCATGACCCACTGGAGAAATAGTTATAGTAGGTAAGTAGGTCGTGGGTGGGCCAAGATCTTTCTCGCCCACTTGCCACGAAAACAAATTCTGCAGCTGGCCGAAAACTCTGCCCCTCCATATAAAGGAGAAAAAAAATTCGCCTGGTGCGCTCCGCTCCTTCCCCCCCCCCACCCCCACCTGCCTACGCCTCTGTATAGAACTCAACGACACACATGAACAAACGTCCTAATACCACCCACTTGCCACGAAAACAAATTCTGCAGCCGGCCGAAAACCCTCCCCCTCCATATAAAGGAGAAAAAAAATTCGCCTCGTGCGCTCCGCTCCTTCCCCCCCCCCCCACCCCCACCTGCCTACGCCTCTGTATAGAACTCAACGACACACATGAACAAACGTCCTAATACCAGTTCTGTACTGGTAAGAGCACCTTGCTCATCCTTCCCTGGGTTAACAACAACAACAA